TGAGATGAAAAAGACTATACTGGAAGATCTAGCTCACTTGTGGCTCTATTTCTATCTAAATTTCCTCTAAACCTAGGGTTTATGAGAGCTCTCCAGGGAGCCAAAAATGCTTCCAAAATAATTCTTTTAATAGTCTTGGCTTCTCAACAAAAGTCACACTAGAGATTGATGACAAGAGCATTTGATATTTTCAACTTCTTGTTGTTCCTTATTTCTGAACCAAAAGATGTAAGTCATGACACATCATATCCTACATTCATTTGTTTCAGAAGTAAAAACTGTTGATGTTGTTGGGGCACCATGGTGACAGAGTTCTGTAATTCCACTGCCAGACAGAACAGAAGGGCAGCAGGAGTTGGTACTTGAGGACTTCTCAGACCTTCCTCGGGCAGTCTTGACATGGCAACCACTGTCACCTCTCTTCTTAGAGATGCAAAGCAACAGCCACAAAGAACCCACCAGATTACCACTACCCCAAGAGAATACGGACTTATATTCAATACGTTAGTCAAAATATACTTATTATTACAGAATCTCAAATGCATACAAAATAAAAAGCTCAGTATATTTGTGTATAGAGAGAATGCACTGTTTGTTTAAAATTTCCATTTTGGGGTGGGTGGTGGGTGGGGGAATGGATATAGCAATGATTGAACTGAGAGGCTCCTACAGATGAAGCATGCACTTTATAATATCCCTGACTACCCTTATTTAAGGAGTGACGCACCTAAGTAGTGTGGGAGAAAACATTGCCAATATTTCTTGTGTCACAGGCTTAGAGTAATCTTTATGGAATTATCCAATTACACAAAAGGAGGCTGCCTTCCAATGTTTCAGAGTAAAAATCATTTTATCAAAATATTATGAAGTCTAGGCTTTAATATTAAAAATCATATATGAACCATCCATCTCAATAGCAAATGTTCTGTCTCACTCATGCTAAGAAACTGGTCGTGTGACACTGCCAGAGAGATAGGGTGGTTTACTGCATGGATAATCAGGCTCATTCGCAAACTTGGCTTTTTCTTTCTCACTTCAAAGAATTTTGTAACTCTCTTGGTTTTAACTGCGTTACAATTCAAAGCAGAACAGAGTGAAGCAAAGGTTCTTTGTGACCCTCACATACCAAAAGAATGAGATGGGAACATCGTTCAGCTATGGCTTCTGCTCTCATAGGCCATCTTTAAAGGAGGCAACATGGGGCCAGAAAATTAGTACAGCGGGTGGAGCGCATGCCTTGCACATTCAATGGAGGTTTGATCCCTGGCATTTTTTAGGTCCCCTGCACCCCTCCAGGAGTGACCTCTGAATCATCATCAAAACAAAGAACAAGTGAATGGTGTGCTCCCCCTGAAAGCACTGGAAATCAAGTTGCAGTCTTTCAACTAGATCATTCTCATCAAAATAGCCAGATACTTGCCACAAGATAATTATGATCTATTTTTATTTGTGACTCTCAAGAACACACAGGGAAGAATACAGCTTGATTTTTAAGTCCTAATCCTGAAGAAGACAATTAAAAAAAATCTTGTTTTGACTAGTTAAAGTGAACCAACTTGACATAGAGGTCACAGAGAAAAAACTCTCACAGAGGAAAGATTTTCTATCCAATTGGTCTGATGCAACAGTTTTAAAATATAAATTATAAGCTCAAAGTTCAGGACAAAGAGATTTCAAGAAGCAGGTCAGGTCAAAGTTCCTGGTCAAGATAAATTCTCAAAAAGAGAGGTTCCTCAAGTTTCAAAAGGAAAACCGAACTCTTAAATCTACTATACACTAGTATATAATAAGCAAAATATTTTGAAATCCCAGTAGTATTAATTTGGGACAACATAGTATCAGATGGGAGAAAACCAAGTTCATATTTGCAGAAAAAAATAAGTACATCTCTAGATCTTATAATTTTGAAGGAATCGTGTTATTAAAAAATTTTTTTTTAGTCACCATAAAGTGACTGTTATTCATGATTTTCAGGCACATGTTTTAACACTGCTCCCTTCACCAGTGTCTACTTCCCTCCAACAATCCTGTTACCCTCACTGCCTCTGACCACGCCAGTCTGCTTCGATGAGGTGCTCTCTCTCTCTCTCTCTCTCTCTCTCTCTCTCTCTCTCTCTCTATATATATATATATATATATATATATATGTAGCACTGTCGTCCTGTTGTTCATCCATCTGCTCGAGTAGGCACTAGTTAACGTCTCCATTGTGAGACTTGTTACTGTTTTTGGCACATTGAAAATGCCATGGGAAGCTTGCCAGGCTCTGCCGTGCAGGCGGGATATTCTCCGTAGCTTGCTGGGCTGTCTGAGAGGGATGGAGGAATCGAACCCGGGTCGGCCACGTGCAAGGCAAATGCCCTACCCGCTGTGCAATCACTCCAGCCATATATATATATATAATATAACATGTATTATATATTATACATATATATACTTGCACCGTTTTGCAGTACTATTGCTAATAGGGTTCCCACCCACCCACACTTTATTACGTTATTTAAACCGTGGTTTATAAAGTTGTTCATGGTGATTTGTTGTTACAGGCATTCAATATTCCACACCAATTTCACCACCACTGCCACCTCCCCTCCACCACCATCTCCAATTTTCCCAACCAGCCCTCAAGGCTGCACTTCTAACAGGCCCACAATAATGTATATCATATTGGTTGTTACCACTGGCTAATGGAAAGATTGTTGGGACAATTTTCTCACCATGGGGACATTGTCTGGGGTTTACTAAGCTGTTGTTGCATGTTAACCTTCTGTGTTAATATTTTTATTAGTTGAGATTGGTTTCTACATCCCATCCAATCTGGTGTGCTACTACTGGGATGTTACTATTTTAAGTTTGAAGATTTTGCCCAGAAAAATCCAAATATTTAACTAAGCAGTCCACCGGAGGCAAAGTGGCAAATTTGGGGTGTGGGAATACCTGGTGTGTGTGGGGGGAGATTGCCTCAGAGTTCTCAGCTAGGAATAAGTATCTGGAAAATTTTTGTAGCTAATACGTCTCTTTTGCAATTCAGCCCTTGAGTCTCTGGAACAAGGCCAGTAGATGAACATACACGGTGGCAGGGTGTGACATGGGTGTGCCTGCTGGGTCTTCCACAGGGAGGTGGGGGAGGCCACCCATCCACACTCGAGAGGGATGGGTTTCATAAATTTTGATCTGGGTGGTTAAATTCCAAGATAGTAAAGACACTTCTCTAATTTTTGGGGGGTGATATCCAGTGTTGCTTCAGCATAGTCCTCACTCTGAGCTTAGCAGAGATCCCTGATTGTAGCTGGAGACCAAGTGTGGCGCAATCAGTCTCTGCAAGGTAAGTCTCTTAACCCTTGCACTATCTCTCCAGACCCTACGCTTTGCTATTTGAATGCTGTTGCGCATTATGGCATCTACGCCACTATGGTTTAATACATTTAAAACTGTAAAACAAATAAAGTCTATTAAGTAGTAAGTTTCTAATCTAAAAAATACTTCAAACTAATTTTAGTAACACTTGTTCTATTTTAGACTTGAGAGTTAATTATGAAAATCTGAAATAAGGTGCCAATTTTAGTTATCTATAGCCAACTGAATATTAACATTACCAGTTTTCCAAAAGAATCTTTCAATAATTCAGAAATGTGTATATCACTAACACTTTATAAAATATTGTTTCATATTAATACTTTCAAATATAAATTAAATTTATAAAATGTTTCAAAAAGCATTAGAAAAGATGCCCTTTCAGTGCCACTTCTTGGTAAATTAAACTTCTGTCCATTTCACTACTGCCACTAGTGGTCTTGTTTACCATGTGTGAATTAAAGATGACCTTGACTCAGTAAGAACATAGGAAAAAGATACATGACTCTAATGTAAAGCTTTCTTCTTTTCCTTAAAACATCCATTGTGCCCAAACTACTAAGACCTTTAATTCATGGGATTATTTTTTCCAAGTTTGCTTAAAATAGACAGCAAATAGTTCTATTTAAACTTGAACAAAAGACTATAGTGGAGTAGCTTTCATTTGTAAAAAGATGGAGGATTATGCTAACAACAAATTACTTATTTGGAGGTCTAATTTTATTATTTTCACCACTGGGAAACGTACTCCCCTCTCTATGTTCTTTTTCTTCTTTACTGAAATCTGTAAACAGTATCCTGTTATATGCAAAAAAAAAAAAAGAAAATATTAGACTTTTCTTTCATTTTCACCAGGGGCCATACCTGGTGAGGCTCAAGGTTCACTTCTAGTTCCTAGTTCTGCACTCACAATCACTCCTGGCAGTGCTCAGGGGGCCATATGGGATGCCAGGGATCAAAACTTGGTCAGTTGTGTACAAAACAAGTACCATACCTGCTGTACTTTCACTCCAGCCAGATGGGGTTGGACTAGTTATTTTTGAATACACGGAAAGTATTTTAATGGAATCTAATTTTCATTTGAGTTGTTAATTTGAACAAATATTCTTTTCATTTTATATAAGCTGAATCTGAGTCACAGCCTGGTTTATACAAAGCCTTCACATCCTACTTAAATAAGGATGAAGTGAGGTGATTGAGTAGGGCACTTGCCTTACACATAGCCAACAGGAGTTTGATCCCTGGCATCCCACTTAGTCCCTCGATCACCACCAAAAATAGAGTGATTTCTGAGTGCAGAGCAAGGAGTAACCACATTGCCAAGTGTGGCCCCCAAATAAAACAAAATATACAGACAAGCACTTTAGATAAAAGGCTGCTCTAGTAATAGGCAAGTTAATTAAAAGTATGAAGTTTACTTTAATTGAAGTATGGTTTATTAGACATAGCAAACTATGTATATTTATGGTCTTGGTAACAAATTTGAAACACTTATTACACTGTTAGCTGCTATTCCAAACTCAACATATTATACGGCCCCCCTTTTAAAGCTATTTGTAGTTAGCAATGTGGTACATTTGACAGGTGTCATTCCTGATGCCAACTAATAACAGAATCTCTCACAACTTAAGAGATTCCCCCCCCACCCCCCCAGAGAATTTAAAGTCTTCATCAGTGTCTCACTTTCTATAACTGGCTTAAAAACAACAAAATTTGAGACTCAACGATAACAACTCAAATGAACTATCTAAAAGGTAGATTACTTAAGAAAAGCAAATTTAAGCCTCAGGATTATTAGTGACCCACTGGCAAATACACCCTGTGCCATGTAAAAAAAAAAAAAATAAAAGGCAATTTTATTGAAGAGTTTCCAAAAAAGATTTCTAAGCACAGATATAGTCTCCGTGGCAAAATAGTAATAATAAGCCCCAAGAAATAAGTATCATAACATTTTAATTCTTCAAAGCTGCAAATGACTTCATCAGATAAATCATGTTGTGCTTTGATTTAAAGTGTGCCATCAGTTGTGAACTAGTTGCCTCACTTGCAAAAGAAAACTCATCTCATCCATCAGCAGACCAGCAGCTCTCTTGCTCTCACTATTCTACTGTCACTCAAAAAGATTCCAGTTAAAAAAGTATTCCAATGTAATGATTACGTATCATTATATCACTGTCCTCCCATTGTTCATTGATTTGCTCGAGTGGGCCCAGTAACACTATGAGACTAGTTACTGTGTTTGGCATATCGAATACATCACGGGTAGCTTGCCAGGCTTTGCCGTGCTGGCAAGATACTCTCGGTAGCTACCCGGGCTCTCGGGAGGGGGGGGGGAGGAGGACTTGAACTCCGGTCGGCCATGTTGGCTGAGTGCAAGGCAAATGCTCTACCCGCTGTGCTATCGCTCCAGCCCTATCATTACATATAATAAGTGTAAACATTTTTTCCTTTAGATATTATCTAAGTTTGGATGTACTGTGAATTTAATACAAAAATCCTGCCAAACTGTCACGATCTCTGCAGGACTTTTTGCGGGAGGCTCTTTCGACATCCTCTAGCCTTATGACTAGTTCAAGCTAGAGGCTACTCAATGGTTAGAATTGAGTTAAAATAGTTAGAGCAAATAGATATACAACCTAAAACACCTGTGTGATCCTAGCAACTTTCATACATGACAATGGCTGAATTTTATTCCAAGTAGATAATCTAATGATAGATTTTCTATTTTAATATTTTAAATAAAATGCTCTGGGCAAGGATATTTCAATATGTGTTTGTGGGGGGGGGCAAGTAGCAGGAACAATTTTTAAATTGACTTGATACTAAAATCAATAGTAAGTCTGAAAGAAAGAAGCTGGGAAGAGGCTGCCTCAAGGAGCTGATCCCATGCATCTCCAGCCCAATGTTATTTTCCATCCTCCAACTCTGTACCTGATTGAGAACTACAAATTTAAAATACTACTTAACAATGTCTGATTTCTAACAACGAACTTAAGGTTTTCACTTTTCCCTGAAATATTAGCAGAAGAAGATACAAACAATTCACAGTACAGTTTTATGTCCCAGGAGAAACACTGGCAATATATATTTGCTTTTAAAAAATATGATTATGACAAACCAGATAAAAATCCAGCCAATTTCCTCATTTACATATAACCAATACATCTTATTTACATGACTCAATTTTTATTCAACATTCTTCATAAAAACTCTGTATTTTTTATTGGCATATAACCATTAGGTATTGTTTTGTATCATTTTAGTCACAGGTAGGCAGTTTTTATAAAAGTTTGTCTCCGCACTGTGAACAGAATACAGTTAAACCTCAACAAGTAAGACAAAGAGACATTAGACAAAGTCTAGTGTTAACAACCTGCCTAATAAGGCTGCGTGGGTTATTCAAGGAATCCACTGGCTAGTGTGCATAATTCTAGCTATAACAAAACATAATGCAACAAGTATGATTTTGAAGAACCTGAAAAAGAGTGTCAGTGTATAAGACACTGAATACTGCTTAATGTTACTACTGACAGGAATTTATTATACTGGGTTTTCTTTATCGTCAAGAAACACTGATTTTATTTTTCCCCTAGTAATATTTAATTTTTAAAAGGTATCAGTTCCATAACTCTCAAAGAACTGGTATATTTAGGTAACTAACCAAAAAGATAATCAGGAACATATATCTTTGTCCATAGTCTCCAAAGGGATAAAATGCAGGAATTTCCTACAACCTGTTATATAAGGCACCCTATTCCACTTTTTTCTTTAAAGAAACTTTTCCTTTGGTTTCGTGTAATTTTTCAGTGAGTCTATCCTTAGTTTCTTCCATTTTCTCTGTGAGAAGCTCCTTCGTCACCTCCATCTTGTCTTGGAGATATCCTTTAACAGGAGGAGGTGTTGACATGTAACCATGCTTCCGCAAGTACTTCACAGTGAAGGAAGTTCCTCCCAGAGTCACCGTATAGCGGGCAGGTGTTGCAATCTGAAGGAAAAGGCAAAAAGATCAATACCTGGTTGAGAAAAAAACAACTTTCAATCAAAGCTCTTCAACTATCACCATACAATATAAATTAATTACTTCACCAGGTTAAGCAGTCACTTTTCTTAAGGTTTTCTCTCCAAACGAGGACCATATTCTCTGCAAGCTTTTTCTGAGTATCTGTCACTTAAGATACTAGCCCAGATTAGAAAGAGATGACAGTGGCAGACTCAGGTTTGTGATGGTGCACTGGTAGCCAAGGTAGATGTAAAAAGAGCACTCATGAGCACATTCAGTTCAAATCCACAAATGTTGTAGCTAGTATGAAACCAGTATGAGATTACTTGAAATGCTGAGATATAGGCATGGTCAAATATTCTTTACAATGTCTGGCTTAGTTTCACATTCCATTCTCTTTCCTGATTTTCCCTTATACTGCCTCTTTTCACCATCCATCCTTGGGAATTGTATCCCAATCAGGAGGTTCAATGAGGGAAAACAGTGATAAACGATGCACATGTTGCAGATATGGCAATTTGACCAGCACTGTAGCACTGTTCTCCTGTTGTTCACTGATTTGCTCAAGCGGACACCAGTAACGTCTCCATTGTGAGACTTGTTACTGTTTTTGGCATATCGAATATGCCACGGGGAGCTTTCCAGGCTCTGCTGTGCGGGCAGGAGACTCTCGGTAGCTTGCTGGGCTCTCCAAGAGGGACGGAGGAATCGAACCCAGGTCAGCTGCATGCAAGGCAAGTGCCCTACCCGCTGTGCTATCGCTCCAGCCCAATTTAACCAGAGAAGGTCAAAAACCAAGAAACAGAGGAACTGGTCAAAAAGAATCATAAAAGCAAAAAGATTCTGTCTCATATTCTTTTGTTTTAAAATTCGCAGTTGTAACAGATTTGAGAGTTGTCGATGGGCCTGTCTAACTTCCTACTTCATTTCTGTCTAAACTTACTCTTAACCAAGGAGCTTGCCTCATCAAAGGGAGTTGGAGGTTCCTAACATACATAGTTCTGGTGAGAACTATGAGCCAGTATTTCCCACCTGGAAGGTAATACCACTTTCCTGATTCCTTCCACATCATAGACACCCCCTCCTCTGGGCCTCCCTGCTGACTCCTCTTCAAGTCATTTACCTCTGACCTGGTGGGTCAGCATTTGGGCAATCCCTGAAACCATTCTTTGGTCCACCCCGCTCACTCCCCTAGCAGTTTCGTTCAGTCATGTCTTCTCTTCCATCAATATGTTGTTTCTTACACTTCACATTCAGACTGAGAAGCTTTCAGCTTAAATAACCACTTATTCATTCCTAAGACCTGTCTAGAAGGAGCTAAGATGTCCATCTGTTTCAAACTGACCTCCTGTTTGTAAACAGTTCCTCTCAAGGTTGTCTGCATTCAGAAAATGGCAACTTCATTCTTCAGTTGCTCAAGCCAACAGTCTGTAAAGAGCTTCCATTCCTCCTTTTTCCCTTAAATGATTTACTTTCAATACATTTCAAAATTCCATCAGCAACCCCATCAACACATATCCAGTACCCAAGCCACTCTTTATCACTATGGTCCTCACAGCTATTATCACTCAGAACACTAGTTAGTCTCTAGCCAGGTCTCTAAACTTCTACCCATGCCCTAAAACACATCTCCATTCACAATAAAGCACACCGGTCATTTTGGTTAAATTAAGATAGATGTTCAAAAACTATCACTTAGTCACTTTCTACTCTGCACTTAAGTCAAGACACGCCCCTTGGAATGCTCATCTCCCCAACAGCTTTCTGATGAAAACCCACACCTTCTTACCTCGCCAGTCCTCTAAAGCTGCAAAGGTTGTGTGTCTGTGTCTGTGTGTGTGTGTGTGTGTAAGGGTGTACGTGTGAGAGTGTGTATGTGTGTGAACCCAATCCACAATGAAGACAAATTAAATACTAAATGTGTTTTCTTATTATTATTTTTACTTTACCTTCATTTTCTCTCCAACTGCCTCCGACTACTGGAATAAATACAAACTCCACAAGAGCAGCCTCTTTGTGGTTTTATTTAATCACAGTATTCCCAGTTACCAGAATGACGGATGGCACACAGCAGGGGCACCACAAATTTTTGTCAACTAAAAAATTGGTGCATATCAAGGACAGCACATGGAGGTTAATAATTATATCCTAGCTAGGCCACAAGGTCATATTCACAGGTTATTTTGTTTTCATCTTTGCTACACCTCACTTGGGAACTTTGCCTTATTGAAGCAATAAATCTCAATTTGTTGCTCTGAAACTGTGCATTACAGAAAATACTCAGGGCAATCCCCTCCACATTTTCCACTGCACAGATGGGCAGGGAGCAAGAAGAACATTGCGGATGCTAATCTATTTTCATGTTTCAGTTCCAACTCAACAGTGCATATTCATAAACTGATCACTGCCTACAAAACACCATACCAGCATGATGAAAACACAGAGATGAAGACATGATTCTGAATTCCTAGGTGCCCATAAGCAAATAAAAAAAAAATAAAAAAACTTTCAATGAGTCAAAGGTACTGTGATATAAATTATAGTAGCTACACATAAATAACGGGAACATGGGTTAAGGAATAATTATAATTAGAGAAATTACTTAAATCATTATTTTGATTAAAATCAAATAACTCACAATAACTAGAAATGGTAACCTATTCATTAGTAAATTTTAATGTTAAAAAAGTCACTTAAGTAGCTGTCAGAAAGGATGAAGTCATGAAATTTACATATAAGTGGTACTACATGGAAAGTATCATGCTAAGCAAAATGAGATACAGAGGGATAGATATAGAAAGATTGCATTTATCTGGGGAACATAAAGTAACAAAATAGGAGACTAACACCCAAGAATAGCCGAGGTAAGTACCAGGAGGTTTACTCCATGGCTTGGAGGCCAGCTTCACACTCTAGGGGTAAAGGCAGCCCAGATGTAGAAGGGAGCACCACATGGGGGGTGTTGGAAGGATCCCCCCAGGATGGGAGAAGCATGCTGAGACTAGACTCTAGACTGAACATGTTGCCACTCGATGCCTCTTTTGCAGGTCTCAGTACCCAAAAGGAGAGAGAGAACAAAAGGAAGTGCCATGCCACAGAGGCAGGGTGGGATGGGGGAATAAGGGGGGTGGGAGGGGTACTGGGATCAGTGGTGGTGGAAAATGGGCACTGGTGGAGGGATGGGTACTCGATCATTGTACAACGGAAACCCAAGCACAAAAATTTGTTAAGTCTACAACTGTACCTCATGGTGTTTCACTAAAAAAAAAAAAAAAAAGTCACTTAAGTAAGCTTAAGCCCACTAGTCAAAATTAAAATAAAAGATGAAATTACCCCTAATATTTCAGAGAAAACTAATGAGAATAACAAAATGAACATAATTTGGGAGCAGAATTGACAGTACAGTGGGTGCATACATTTGCCTTGCTTGTGGACAACCTGGGTTCAATTCTGGCACCTCATCTAGTTTCCCAAGCCTTCCAGGAGTGATTCTTTACCACAAAGCCAGGACTAAGCTCTGAGCATTGCTGGGTATGGTCCAACCCCCCCCAAAACTAATGCTATTTTGGGGTGCTACTATGCATTCATTATTCTGAATATTTTTATATACTAGAAATAAAATAAAACATCTAGCTTCCAAATGCTTTCTATTTTCTTTCTTGGAATGACAGTCAATTGAGAATAATATGATTAAAATCACTAAACTACACAATTTATAATGAGTCATTTTCTCAAAAATAACGATCCAAAGGTAAAGGCCCATTTTCCACCACCACTGATCCCAGTACCCCTCCCACCCCCCTTATTCTCCCATCCCACCCTGCCTCTGTGGCATGGCACTCCCTTTATCTATATAAAAGCAAAATGATCTGAGTCCAGAAGACAGTTACAAAGATAGAAGCTTCAAAATAAAATCTCTATTTTCCAAATATTTGAGGATTTATCACACGAAACAATTTGAATCAAACTGAACCTGAATCATGTGCAAGGGAAGTATCTTACCTGCTATACTATCTCCCCAACCCTAAAAAGAGGACTTTACTGAAGAAATTCAGAAGTGTAACATTTGTCCAATCACATCTATTTTCAAGGTACTCTTTCTAAATCATTTTATTTGCACTAAAAGAAGTGCTAACATGGTATTTTCTGGGGAACAGAGTAGATCACATATTATGAATGCAGAGCAAACTCTAAATTGCACCTACCTTAAACAAAGCATATGCAGTTAGTGCATTTCCACTCTGGGAATTTTTTAGAATGTTCACCACATTGTCAGGTAACCCAAGAAGTTCAAGGAAAGGAACAACATTCATTCCTCTAAGGAAGAAACAGAAAACAAAATTTAAATATATACACACAAATTATCTTGGGATAAATATTTTTAAAAGATTATCTGAAAACACCAAAACGAAAACTATTAAAAAGTCAGTTCTGTACTGACAACCACAGACATTTCACTCTTGGACAACATACGCAAATAAACATCTTGGACAACCCTAATTAGCATATTAATGAAAGAGCATTTAACACAATAATTAAGAGAAAACAACGTAAGTGCAAAGGATCAGAATAATTTACCTAATTTTAAAACTGCTCCACAAGAGCCTAATCCCTCAGATCATTCCAATTCATATATCAAGACCTAAGATTTTTAATTCTAAAATTATATGTTATGTCCAGATAGTACAGTGGCATTTGCCTTGCATGCAGCTGACCCAGGTTCAATCTCTGGCATCACTCAAGCACCACCAGAAATAATTCCTGAGTACAGGTAAAGGTAAAGGTAAAGGCCCTCCCGTTGATCGTCGATTTGCTCGAACGGGCCCAGTAACGTCTCCATTGGAGACTTTGTTGTTACTGTGTCTGGCATATCGAATACTCTCGGTAGCTTGCCGGGCTCTCCGAGAGGGGTGGAGGAATTGAACTCGGGTCGGCCATGTCGGCCGCTTGTAAGGCGAACGCCCTACCGCTGTGCTATCGCTCAGAGCCAGGAGTAACACCTGAGCATCACTGGGTGTGGACCCTAAACCAATAAATAAATACACATTTAACTATAGGTGATGAGAACATCACCTACTATATCATTATGAAAGTAATAAATTAGTGGAGGGAAGGTTGTTGGAACACTGTATGACTGAAATCCAATCATGAACAGCTTTGTGATGCTCTGAAAAAAATTTTTTTTAATTTAAAAAAAAGTAATAAATTATTCTACATGTTTGGAGAAAACCTCAATTATCTAATAGCCAATATAAAAGGCAGCTGAAAATTATAATTTTAATTCTTTTTAATTATTAAAAATGTATACTCATAATTATACTATTAAAAATAATTTTATTAACTGGAAAAAGCTGTCTCTCCCTGATTTCACTACAATATTCAGAATTCAGTCACTACTCTCAGTAGTTATGGCTGATCAATGTCAAGGAAAAGTACCCATTAATGAAAACAAAAGGAAACGATAACTAAAAGACTCTTTAGAAAGGATAAACTAATACAAGAAATAACTACGCAGCCAATTTGGCTTTTCCTATCTGTACCTTTCTTTTTAAAATCTCTTTTTCAGAGAACAAAAAAAAATACTACTAACGAGTTAGGATTAATGAAGGTCTGATTCAAATAATAATACCCACTTTGTATCACTTTTTACTCTCAGGTAGTTTCCAAAAGCTGATCAAAAGCTATGTTTCAGACACTGCCAACTTTATAGGGTCTTTTTTTTTTTTTTTGCTTTTTGAGTCACACCAGCAATGCTCTGGGGTTACTCTGCACTCAGGAATTACTCCTGGCGGTGTTTGAGGGACCAGGTGGGATGCCATGGATAGAACTAAGGTCAAAAGCCCTACCCACTATACTGTACTATAGCTCTGGACCCTTTATGGGGGTTTTTCAACTAATGCGGAAACATACAAGGGCAAAAACACACTCAGAATTTGGAGATTTCCTTGAAATAAAAAGTTTTGAAAACTTGAAATCATTAATCATTAGTTTACCAAACATAGAATGGCAATTCATTCTGTGGTGTCTAGAAAGGCAACTATGCTAGTTGTCAGGGTGACAAAAACAAACACTGACAACAAATGTCATCCGTGTTACAAACAAATGTCATCCATGTTACAAACATCCATGTTACAAACTATTTCTCCTTTCTTTTTTTTTCTTCAAGTTTTTAAAATATTTATTTTTTTGACCCCTCCTCCTCTTTCTTTTAATAGTAAGTAGACAACAAGAATAACAATTTATTCTAGCTATAACTAAATAAAGTCAGTCTCTTGTCAGTTGAAGTAAAAACCGGCATTTATTATAATCAACTCTAATTTTACAAAAAAAATCATCTAGTACAATATACACTGCTTTTAGAAAAGAACTTAAAAATTTTTTATTTTCTAATAATCTTTGATAAGATCTTCACTTAGAACAAATCAACATCAATTTCAGAAGTACTGGGGATTTAATAAAAATATTCAGAGGGACAGTTTTTTGAAGAAACACAAACCACATACTATAAAGCAACTACCAGATATTAAGTAAAACAAAGCTGAATCACCAGAGATGGTAAGAAATAAGCTATGAATCTGACAACCAAATTCTCAAGCCAAAAGTCAAGTTGTGATGGATAAAGGATATAATTTTATACTTTTTTTCGAGGATATGGTTTTAAAGTATACAGTTGTACACCATGTTTACACAGAAACAATAAAAGACAGGAGCAGGATAAAATTAAGAAAGGCACGTTCTACAGAGGATGTGGCAGAAAGCTGCCATAGCAATCTCAGGTGCCAGACAGTACTGAGAATATCTCAAGTATAATTAATAACACTAGGTTATTTGGGGTTCTGCTTTTTTTAGTTATATAACTTTCACTAGAGAAAAAAATTATGAAACAACAAAACAAACTCACTCTAACAGCCCATTTGATAGTCTCCTATTCACTTAATAATAATGTAGATTTCTTCAAGGTCAGGAGATTGAATCCTTAAAAGGGATACTTAAGGAGAACAGAATAAGCAAATATTACCCATGTCATCGCCAGCAATATTCAATCAGAAAAACCTTTAAAGGCTCATAAGAGAAAATCTCACATGAATCAGTAGAAGTAATGGCCCAAATAATTTTGCGGCACAAGGGGACCAAAAGATGATTCCATCAATGGCTTGAACTTGCCTGGCTTACACCAGGCCTCCAAGTGCAAGTCCAGGTGTAGTCCTCACACACACCTTTTTGATCCTGACAGTTCTAGTGTTAAAAATCCCAAGGACAGAAGGGCAGGAAAATGGTTCAATAGTTTAAGAAATGCCCCAGGCAAGTCTTGCATTTAATCTCTGGTTGTTGGTATGGGCCAAGGTGATCCCACTGCCAAAGGTCTGGGTTCCCATTGAGAAAACGTAAAAAGAAAAGAGTAATATAAAAGGTACATGACTTCATGCTAATAAAAATCTAAGGGCAGCTTGGAGACCTTCCATGAGTAATATACATACGAGAAAATTTTTATTAATAAGACAAATGATAATTTCATTAGATATCCATGCAAAGACCTTATGGACAGAACATCTCATGGAACCTAGTGATAAACAATAAACAGTGAGGTAACTAAAAAACAGGAACATAACAGAAAACAGAACAGCATTCATTAAATGAGGCAAAAAGTTTTTAAAAATCCTTTTAGAATTTTTGCAAAAAACCATTAATTCTGTGTTTCCCAAGAACAAATACATGCCATCTCACTTTATTGTATTTCAATTCAGTATAATAACCTTTTCCCTAGAAGCCAGATTTATATGCAAAATGAATACATTTTATTATACCTTAATATCAAGCTATTCATACAACCAAATAGTGATAATTAGTGGGCTTCTAGGAAGTATAAAATAATTCTATCATCAAGGGAGTTTATTAAGAACCTCAAAGTGGTTTGTATCATTGCCCTAAGGACAAGGAACTCACTGAGCTCATCTTCCTCAGGTCACTAAAGACCACAAAGCACTTTGAAAGGAAGAGGCACAGGCATCACTGGGCTCTGCTAGTGGCAGAAACAGTCTGTAAATCACTAGGAAGCTGTGTCTATGTTCAGTCATGCTCTGAAAGCTGTATTTTATAATTCATGCTATATTTTTATAGTGTTTCAACTACGCCCACCAAGTTAACTTCTTACAAAGTTTATCTTGTGATACGTATCTAACATGAACTTGATCCTCTTAAATTTTTAAGTATATGACAAATTGACAAATTACTTCCTGACCAGAACAAAAGACCCGTGACACTTATCAGATGTAGTAACTGTGAAAGCAGAAACCTGCAATCTTTTATAGCTTTTATAGCTACAATAGGTATGGAAAAACACTGGGACAGGTGTTTTTCAATTTCCTACCCAAATCACATATTCGGCAAAAAATCTCTTCACATTCACGAACATTCAAAGTGTAGAAATCATGGTTCTGCCAAACTTCTGAAATCTAGTACTTCTGTACTATGCTAAATGCAAGTAAGAGATGAGCTGTGATTAAAAACATGGGACTTTGAAAGAACACAAACCTAACAGGATTTTAGTCTAGCCTCTGCTGAATTTTGGGAGGGAAAGCTAAGTTATTTTCATTTATTCTTACCTAATCTATTTTCTCATTAACAATGTGGAAACAACTTCACCACCTGCTTCATATAGTTGCTGTGAGGATAAAACAGTAAGATAACATAAAAAATGTCTGCTGTACATGATAATTAAACACTAGCTATTACTACAATGTGAAAACTAGCTACGAAAAGCAGCCCTCTTTGGAGTGACTTCCAGGTTATGAAAAATTAAACCATTTACATCTTAATGCAATGAAATAGCTATTTAAGGCTTTAATAAACATCTGATAAGAATGAGAAAGGAACTCAAGCAAAAACTTACTTTATGGCTGCATAATAAAATGTTCCAAACCAAACTCCAGAGGTTATTAGATGCACAGGAATCAAAACTTTTCCATATTGTCTAAATGTCCTCTTAAATCGTTGATAAAGACTAATAGACGTGTCTTGTAAAGGATCAAGTTCTTCCTTTTTGTCCGGAGTTTCTGAGGATGTGGATTTGGACGATATAACCCTCTGGGATAAAATATCTTGCTTCCACTCCTTCTGCTGAAGGACCCCTGGCTGGGGTGCATGACTGAATGTCTTCCTTTCCTTTCCAGCAAACTGGGCAGTAGATACATGCAACCATTGTTTTTGAGAGCCTGCAATCAAAACTACTCTACATTCAGTATTATGTGAAATTATCGCTCCTTTTAAGTTTTGACAATGTCCAAAAAGACCAACTTTAAGTGGTTCCAGGCATGTCCTATGTGCAAGTCGGAATACAGTCCTTGGTACATTCCATTGCATTTTGAAGAATAATGATTGATGGATTTCAGCTTCTACAGAGACTAGATTGAAAAAAAAAAATAGATTATACCTAGGTCTCCATTTCAAGCTACTCTATTAAAATATAAATCCTTAAACTTAAGCGGTAAGAGGAAAAACCATGCTATCAGAACCACAGAAATTAATCTTAAGAAATATATACATATATATTTATAATATACTATAATTTTTAAATGCTATAAATATAAAATAGACATAATGGAAGAAAATATTTTAAGCTATTTTATTACTATAAAAGAAATATACATAGAGCTCATAAAGAAGAAACTCATTATAATGAAAAAATCATAAGGCTTATAATCAAAAGATCTGTACGTAATGTTTTGGGAACAACTCATCCCCTGTTAGACTCCAAGCTCAAGTCCAATAATAAAATGAGGATTATGTCACAAGGTTGTTAGAGGAATTGTGTGAAATTTCACAGTGAAATAATAGACTGGTGATCAGTGGCCTCAACAACAAGAAAAGATTCTACAGGGCAGTCATACAGGATGGGTCTGAAACTTGAAAAATCAATACTGGGGCAGGAACAATATTACAGAGGGTGCGATGTTTGCCTTGCATACAGGAGACCTGAACTCAAATTCCTGACACCCTATATGGTCCCCCAAACCCCATCAGTAGTGATCCCTTGTAAGATAACATTAGTTTATTCTTTCAGCCTTGCCACAGGGAGTTTAGGTTTCCTGGGTTACTCCCACCACAGTGCTCCCATTCCTGTGTGTTTACTTGTAACTTCTTTCTTTGTGCTCTGTTAACCTGAAAATATTGTTTTTTCTCTTCTCCTTAAGTTCTCTGCATAGTTAATTCAGAGCAATGTCCTTTTTGTATAGACAAAGGAAGACAGTCAATGTTATGCTTTTGTAACTTGGGAGTTAAATGACTCCAAATGATATTCACCCCTGGGCATCTGTTCTGTTCTCTCTCTCTCTCGCTCGCTCTCTCGCTCGCTCTCTCTTTCTCTCTCTCTCTTGACTTAAGACTCAGTTGCCCTTACTTCCTAGCACCCCAAAAGCAGAGTCTTACAAGGGACTGGCCAAAGAGCCTAATACTTAATTATAAGTTAAGAGCATGGTCATAGACAAATTCTGTCATGATTCCAAAATTAACAGCTAGATTAGGGCCCTGCTAGGGTTAGGAAAGATTAATCTGGCCTGAGCACTGCAGTCTGAGATCATTATAGCAAGATATCCCCAAGAGAGTCACTCTACAAGCTCAAAGAATCTCTGTGTCCATACAAAATAACTAATATTAAGAAGTAGAATTAAGAAGTTAATTAAGATGTCAAGTTGTTGGACTAAGGAGAGGAGAAACACCCCTAGGTGGTATTTCAGCCCTCCAGCCTAATCAGTGATCAAGAAGGGCTTCTGATATGTTGATTGTGCTACCAGGTGAGGTGTGGGGTTTACCCACAATGCGGGGATTTGGAGAGAGATGGGAGAGAGACCAGGGCAGCAAGACGGAGCACAGAGAGACTAGCAAGGGGGACAGAGGGAGAAGTATGTAGGGGAAGTATGCAGGAGCAAGCACGTGGAGAGACGAGACACCACTGCGAGAGGGAGCGCAGAGAGATGAGCGGGAGAAACAGGAGGAGACGGGAATGAGGGGCAGTGTGAGACTGGAATGGGGTGCTTAGTGTGACTGTAACAGGTGCATGGGGAGAATGGAATAAATGGCAACTGATCACCAACTAGCCTGGTGGCCCTCATTTCCTCCTTCGTCTGCCCATGGCTTCGGCCACCCTGGGTGGGCAAGTGGCCCGAATCCACCGAACACAGGAGGCGAGAGAGAGCCCCACAGGAATCTCCCTAGCTGCCAGGAGATTACACAATCCCTGAACACCGAGCCAGGAGTAAACACTGAATGCCACTGAGGAGGCCTCATGCCACGCCCACACCAAAAATAAAGAAAAAAAGAAAAAAAAAGTCAATATGAAATTTTAACTAATCAAGGTAATAAAACAAAGTCTCTTCGAGATCAAGGTCTAGGTATGAGGAAGCAGTAATAGACATATGTAACAGTCCTGATACAGCAGAGTAATTAGCAGAAAAGAATCACGAATCACGAATCAGGACCATCCTGTTATTCGTCGATTGCCTCGAGCAGGCCCCCGTAACGTCTCCTTCATCCTGGCCCTGAGATTTTTAAGAAAGTGCTATATTCAAGGCTCTTTAGGAGAATGAGACCCATCATTGTTACTGGTATTTGGCATATTGGGTACACCATGGGGAGTTTGCCAGACTCTGCCATGTGGGCAGGTTACATTCGGTAGCCTGCCAGTTTGTCCAAAGTAGGAATGAGAGAATAAGATGACATAATAAGATGTCGCGCGGTCGAGAATGCGGCCGCGTGGTTCCGGGAGCTGGTTTTAAAAAAGGCAGGAAAGAAATAAGGTATCAAACAAGGGCTAGAAAGATAGTACAGCAGGTAGGATGCTGATCTTGCATATGCATGTGGCAGACCTGAATTCAATCCCTGGCAATACATAAGGTCCTCCAAACACTGCTAGGCTAATCCCTGAGTGCAAAGCCAGGAGTAAATTCATTTGATGCCTTCAATATAATTTCTGTTATATAATCCATCTCCTCCAATATAGTTTCCTATGGGGTTTTCTAATATGAGAACTGAGCTAAATAAACAAGTTGTGGTAATGATGGAGCAGTAGCTAAATTCTTAATTTTCAGAAAAGGTTAAATTATGCTCTAGCGTATTCCTAAGGGATTCCATTCACCCACTGATTTCCAGAGCAGTCCTAAATGACAAATGTTACCATTTTTACAGAAAATCGGTAATTTTTCCAAAGTACCACATGATGGGGCTGGAGAGACAGTATAATGGCTAGGACACTTGCCTTGTAGGCAGATGACCTGTATTCAATCTTGCCTTATTCGGCTCCCTGAGCCACACCAGGAATGAACCCTGAGCAGAGCCAGGAACAAGCAAATCCTTAATACTGCATGGTAGAGCCTCCAAACAAAGAGAAGAGCAAAAAGAGAACATATTTACAGAAAATGCTTATATCTTTTCTGAGGAACTGCGTTTCAAGAACATATTTTTGATCTTGAAGTAATCTAACATTGCTCCACAACTGAATACTGAATACCTGAAATTCTATTTTTTCATTCTCTGCATCTAGTTCTGTTTCTAATTTCTACTCTCTTACTCTCTCTGGTTTCTAGCTCCAGAGTCTTGCCTCACCTTTGCTATTTTTTCTCCCTCCAAATCTAACAGCCCTCACTGACTTCACTGTTGGGTTTTGTTTTGTTTTGGGGCCAACCCTGTAATGCTCAGGGACCACTTCTAGTGGGCTCAGGGGACGACATGGGGTGCCAGGGATTGAACCTGGGTCAAATACATACAAGGCAAACCCAGACCTGCTGTACTAACTCTCCAGTAAAGATCCTACACTCAGGAAATACCACTGGGTGTGGCCTAACCACCACCCCCCACCATAAAAACCCCCAAACCCAGGAAATTGAAGGAGAAAAGTAAAAAAGTGAACTACAAGATAAACAGAACTCATCTCAAACAGAAGTCAAGTGAAAAAATAATTCTAAAAAGTAAATAAACCTCGAGCTGAAAGATGTGATTTGTTGGAAGAGTCCCTTCCCAGCATGGGTGAGGCCATGAGTTTGATTCGGAGCATCACCCCACACTGTGAACTGTATCCATCCACGTCAAATGATAGATCTCAGGCACCACAATCAAATGTGCACTCAGCTTGTAGTGCCCAGGGAAATGCAACCAAGTGTGTAAGCACTACAACCAAGGGTTTGAGCTCCCAATAGAATGCAAGGATAACAGCAATAATGTAGGGATAAGGTAAAGGTAAAGGCCCTCCCGTTGTTCATCGATTTGCTCGAGCGGGCCCAGTAACATCTCCATTGGAGACTTTGTTGTTACTGTGTCTGGCATATCGAATACGTCACGGGGAGCTTGCCAGGCTCTGCCGTGCGGGCGAGATACTCTCGGTAGCTTGCCGGGCTCTCCGAGAGGGGTGGAGGAATCGAACTTGGGTCGGCCATGTTGGCTGCATGCAAGGCAAACGCCCTACCGCTGTGCTAAGGGAAGAGTAAAGATTATGATGATGACTGAAGAATGAAAGTATATACTTCATTGCCACCCAAAGATGAGACTCCCAAGGGAAACCACTGGATATAGATAAGTTCATTTTTATTACAATCCAAGTATGTAAAGCACCGAGAACCTGGAAAAAACCCAAAAGTACACCAAGTGCCAAATGCATCTCCAGGGACATAATCTATCATGAATGAGGGTCATGCTACAAGGGACACAGAAAAAGCAGGTGGTCAAGAGTAAGGAATGCCCCTGGTCAATTAGAAAAGGGTTTCTTTTGGGTTTAGGAAGTTTGATCCTTTTGGGAAAAAGAACGTTGCTTTGTCTAAGCATTTCTCTCTCTCTCTCTCTCTGGCACATTTGTGCGTGCAAACACATGCACGCACACACACAGCTTGCTAAATTTAGCTGATCTGCCACAATGATGAAAAAAATCTTTCCTCTGACCACCGGAAAAAAGATTATGATTATGATAATAACAGTAACAGCGATGTCAAAGAGACAGGTGCTTGCCTTGAATGCAGTTGACTTGGATTTCATCCCTGGGACTCCTTACTGGCAGCCAACTTCAGTTTGCACTAAGTCAGGAGTAAGCCCTGAGCACCACTGCTTGTGGCCCAAGCCTCTCCCTCAAATAATAAAAATAAAGCAAATTCACCTTAAAGAATGTATGGGACAATATTAAGAGGAACAATATTTGCATAATAGGACTTAGAAGAGTGTGGATCAGGAAAATTTTGGAAAGTGTTGACTGGAAAAATCTACATTCTGGGAAAGGGTAAAAGATATCCATGTAAAAGTGACTATAGACTAAACATGATTGACACCCATTGCCTCTTTTGCAAACCACAACACCCAATGAGAGAGAACAAAAGGGAATGCCCTGCCACAGAGGCAGGGTGGGATGGGAGGGATAGGGGGTGGG